ACCATGAGTTGTCGTACCACAGTCACAAGTGCAACAGGTTTTGGGACAACTACACCAGCAATTGGGCCACCCGGGACAATATAAGATGGATCACGCAGTGTCCCAGTGATTCTGGTGGCCTCACCAAAGACGTTACGTGATCAACTTCTGCACCCGCTGCATAGAATGCGTCCGAACGAAACCGCCGAGGGCATATAACCGGGCACCCCTTCGGCCCATTGTCTTCGGATACCCCAATGAGATCGTGGGGACAGATCTGATCGGACCATTACCAGAAACACCTGGGAGAAACCGCTACATACTGGTAATGGTAGATTATTTCACCAAGTGGATCGAGGTGGTTGCCATACCCTCAGCCAAAGCAATCATTTTGGCGAGAGCCGTTTTTGAACACTGGGTAGCACGTTGGGGAGCACCAATACAACTCCATTCGGACAGAGGCAGCTGTTTCGAAAACGAGGTTATTGCGGAATCGTGTCAGATCTGTGGCATCCTGAAAACGCAAACGACAGCATACCACCCTCAAGGGAACGGCCAAACAGAGCGCACCAACCGTTCAATTAAGACCCTACTAAAAGTATTCACCGAGGAGTAGTCAGCACGCGAATGGGATCTCGCACTACCGCACTGCCTTCTGGCATACCGTGCAACAGTACACTCGTCCACTTGCGACACACCACATGCAATGCTCACGGGCCGTGAAATGCGTTTACCGATTGATCTCAACACCGCAACACCAACCCCCGAAAAATTGCTGTCCACCGCTTTTGCATGGAATTTACAACAACAGATGCGGAAAGCACACGGTGCAGCACGCGTTAACCTAAAAAACGCATATCGGGGTCAAAAAGCATCTTACGACAGATGGGTAGCGGGAAAGCCGGGCAGCCAGGTCAACAAGTCTTCCTGCATACACCAATACTACCACCGGGACAACCGAAAAAGTTGCACAAGACTTGGAGTGGCCCATTCAATGTTTTAGAGATCCTGTCGGACAACAACTTCCGAATCGTCCCGACAAATGACAGGAACACGAGACCAGCGACGGTACATTTCAATCCAGTGAAGTCGACAACCAAAGCTACGGGAGACCTCAACGACAAATCGAAGCAACAAGGAAGAGTCTCAGATGCAGCCGTACAGGTTGAAGTACCAATAGAAGGTGGAGTTGCTGTTGAGAACAATAGCCTGTCACCGGGGGGAGAGAGTGCTGTAATGGTGACAGTCGACATAGGCCCACACCGTAATGCGTTTAACACTATATGACTAATTGTACCATTATCCTTCCTCTTCACACCCACAGGCGTGAACGCAACTATGACCAATAGCTCGGCTGAGATTAGAAGAACAACAGACAAAACGCCTGAACATGAACCGCGCTCCCCGAATTGGCCCAATTTGTAAATAACCCCTGTTTTTGAATTGTGCCGAATAAACCTTGCCATCCGGTTTGTGTCTTCTCGCTATCGTATGCCGATCAATAGTTTGGTGCCTGGTTGCTGCTTTATTCGTTTATCGGATTATACTACGCAGCGGTTTGTGTTTTATTCCAGACCTGGTGAACTATCCGTACGTATTCAGACCAAGTACCGTTTGTGAACTACAAATATGGCGACGGCGATGGGATCCCCAAATATGCATCCGACACATCGTTCGACGATAAAAAACCGCAAAACAACGAAATGATCTCCCCAGATATTCGAACTAAACTGCCACACTTCACAACTCTGCCCCCCTCCAGTTATCAACAATATGAACCGCCACCGATGTTTGAAGCCGATATGAATCTTACTCTGTGGAAGGCAAAAATAAAGAGACATCTATCAGGAGTTCCTCCAGAATACCAAAGCAGCCGAATCTTGGATCGTCTGAGCGATTGCGTCCAGAAACTTGTCTTACAACAACACGTGGATGAGGAGTATCCACCGCGGAAAATCTGGGAGACTCTCGACTC